TCATGGCTCAAGACTCGAAACCTAAGCCCAGGCTACGTCAGCTCACAGCTCTTGATTGGCTGGGCCTTGTATTTGTTGGTGCGGTATTTTTTCCGAGCCGCTTTCGACAGGGTGAGCCTCCGGAGAACGTGGAGGACATCCTTCTGGCGGTGGATTGTGCTACTTGGCTTGCGGAGGCTGAGCAAATGAGACCGAGATCTCGAAGAATCAGGGAAGAACCAATGTTATTGGAGGAATGTTTTTCCAGACATGTATCGGTGTCGTTTGTTCAGGCTTGCCAGACAGGCTTGCTGGCACTGGTGCTGTGCCAGCGGAGAAGCTTTCCAAGTTACTTTATCACGCTACCATCTATTCACCATTCGACCCGTTTGGCGGTTGACTTATCATCATTTATGCAGTCTTATCTACTTTGTGCCCGCCAGTTTCGTGCTTCGAACCGCAAGTGGACGCCTGCTGTGGGCAACTAGGTTGCAAATATTGGATAGAGCGGCCTCTGATAGTTGTGCCCTTTGCGCATTCATTCTCGCTTTCCTGTCCTGAGATTCGAATATGCCGAGAGAGGTAACTTACCAAGTTTCTGGACTTCTATCGTTGGGGAAAATTCCGCTGGACCGAACACTAGAATGGCCTAGCGACTTGCTGGGATGGACCTTCTGTTTCGGGCGAAGTAGGACAGCCCAAACGAGCGGCATGTGAAAGCCCTGGGCTTCTAATAGGCCCCCCCGAGCCCCAAAATGTGGAAACCACAAGTGCTGTTAATTTTGGGGATTTGCACAGTTCACACGTGTGCCAACATGTCTCGGGATCGGGTAGAAACCGTTCTTTTCCGACAAAAAGTATACTTTTTGAGGCCTGGAGTTTGTAGCGAAAGGACTCCCTTGAGAGTTCCTGCACTGTTGGGAGCTTCCCTTATTTGCCTTAAGTCAAAGGGTAAACCTGGTTAGAGCCCATAAGTCTTATTCCTGCTGAAATGAAGTCAAAAGGAGTGGGTAGTTCACGATAGTTTGATTTTTCCAGATTGCCTATTTAGCACCAATCCTTTGTAAATGTCTATGAAACTCACAACTCTTTTTTTTCTTCTGAGGAATCCTGGTTTGGAGGGACGCCAGTTGGGTTTCATGTTCAGTTGCTGGGCAAACCCAGCCAGTCTTTCCAGCTCCTGTAGTATCCTGAGGAAAGCATGCGCAACCAGGTGAGATACCCAACAGGACTTGGAAGCACTAGTTGCCAGCTTGGTCAGTCACGTGCTTGGAGCTTCATTGCTGAGGAGATGGTGGCCACAGACCAGGACCAGAACGCGCTGGCAAGAGTTTGCGCATGCAATGCCAAGGGGGAAGTGCTCATGGACAGGCTGCTTGGACGGCTGGGGGGGTAGGGGGTTTGGGGTGGGGGTTGGGGAGGTCGGGCGTCCGGGACACCCCCGGATTAATACACTCCTGGCTTATTGATAGGGCTCTCCGCGGGCACCCCCATAGCGGGACGGGTTTTGTTCGGCTGGGGTCAACATTAGGGGTATGAGAGGCTAAATGGGGCCACTTGGGGGCCTTGGGGGCACCTTCCTGAGGGGCGGCTCTGGACTCGTCTAATGCCGACCCAACGGTGAGGGTGTTTCCCCGGACCCCCCCGGATTCACCAACCACTGCTCTACTTCTGAGTTCCGCTTAGTCGGGGGGCCACCCCATACGGGACAACTCCTAAATGATATGGCGGATTCTGAAACGGTAGCCCTGCATCTAGTCTACTTCAAGCAGTTGTTACTACACCATGGGATCTTTACTGCAATAAAGGTGGCGCGTGGCTTCCTCAAAGGGACGCGCATCCGCGAATCAAATGAGGCCCAGAGCAGCAGACTGCCATCAGATTGTCGCATGGCGCGTTCGGGCAGATAAGACCACTTTGCCCGCTTTGTAGTAAGAGACTTGAGCATGTGGCTGTTGAGCAGCGCGAAGTGACATCATAATGCAGGATATGAAAACATCAGAGCCACGCATCTAGCGACTTGCATTGTTTGTTCAGCTTGAACATGCCACAATCCCGTCAACCTTGCAGTGCCCAAACATTGGAGCGGTACAAGAAGTACGGGGCGGGACTTCAGTGTTCGCTACTTCTGCATTGGCAAAAGATGCGCCTGTGAGATGTGCAAGTTGATCTTGGCATACTACACTTGCACTGCGAGCTATGGTTGACAGAGCAAACTTTGTGTGCTACGTAGCCAGCTGCAAAGTGCAGGCTGGTGTTGCCAATACTTCAATGTTTGCATTGAAGGCAACGGTTTTTGAGCCGGGTCTGCCAGAGTGCGCTTCGCGAGTTATGCTGGACTGAAAGTTGCCTTTGTAGATGCTAGCGGAGTTTGGAGACGGGCAGTTGCCTCAGAAAGTGATGCATTGTCATTTTCAAGATCACTCTGGGTCCTGATTGCAGCCTTGCAAAGTGAGGGTGTGCATCTCAGGGATATGGATAGGGCAGTGGGTGTCAGTGGCACGTCAATTGTATTTACGTG